AAGTTTTTTTTTTTTTTTTGGTTTTTTTTTTTTTTTTTTTTTTTTAAAACCCGTTGTTTTTTTTTTTTTTTTGTTTTTTCCCCTTTTTTTTTTTGGGGTTTGTTTTTTTTTTTTTTTTTTTTTTGTTTTTTTTTTTTTTTTTTGGTTTTTTATTTTTTTGTAAAAAAAATTTTTTTTTTTTTTTTTTTGGTTTTTTTTTTTTTTTTTTTTCCCCCCCCCTTGGTTTTTTTTTTTTTTTTTAAAAAAAAAAATTTTTTTCAAAAATTTTTTTTTTGTTTTTTTTTTTTGTTTTGTTGGAATTTTTTTTTTTTTTTTTTTTTTTTTTTTGTTTTTTTTTTTTTTTTTTTTTCCTTTTTTTTTTTTTTTTTTTTTTTTTTTGTTTTTGGGTTTTTTTTTTTTCTTTTTTTTTTTTTTTTTTCCCCCCCTTTTTTTTTTTTTATTTTTTTTTTTTTTTTTTAAAATTCCCCCCCCCCCAAAAAAAAAAAAAAAAAAAAAAAAAAAACCCCCCCCCCCCCCCCCCCCCCTTTTTTTTTTTTTTTTAAAATTTTTAAAAAAATTTTTTTTTTTTTTTTTTTTTTAAAAATTTTTGGTTTATTTTTTTTTTTCTTTTAAAAAAAAAAAACCCCTTTTTTTTTTTTTTTTTTTTTTTTTTTTTTTTTTTTTTTTTTTTTTCTTTAAAAAATTTTTTTTTTTTTTTTTTTTTTTTTTTTCCCCCCTTTTTTTTTTTTTTTTTTTTATTTTTTTGTTTTTTTTTTAAAAAATTTTTTTTCCCCCCTCCTTTTTCCCCCCCCCTTTTTTTTAAAAACTTTTTAATTTTTTATTTTGTTTTTAAAACCAAAAAGGGGGTTTTTCCCACCTTTCCCAAAAACCCGGGGCCCCCTTTGTTTAAATTTGGGGTTCCTTTTCTTGCCCCGGGGGGTTTTTTTTTTCCCTTTTTTAAATTTGGGGGAAAGGGGCCCCAAAGGGGTTTTTTAAAAATTGGGCCCCCGGGGGGGGATTTCCCCAAAAACCCCCGGTTATTTTTTTCTGGCTAAAAAAAACGCCCCAAAATTTTTTCCCCATTTTTATTAATAACTTTTTTTTAAAAAATTCCCGCCCCCCCTTTTCCTCGCCCCTGGGTTTTTTGGCCTGTGCCCTTGGTCTGTTATTTTTTTGAGTATAACAAAACTGCCTCCCAAATGGCACCCTATTCCCTATATAGTGCACTATTCTTGACTAGAGCCCTATGGGCCCTGGTCAAAAGTAGTGCACTATATAGGGAATAGGGTGCCATTTGGGACATAGACCATGTTTCTGTCTATTGTACAGTAATGGGCATTACTTTTAAAACCCTGTGCTGTTTATACAGGAGCTGGAAGGCATTAAGGACTTGGCCCACTGTCCAGTTTCCAAAGTGTCAGTACAGGTTGTCATTGTACTGTAATCTAAATAAGGAGCTGTTCTTCTTAACTGTCTTCAATTCAAATAATTATTTTTCTACGTTACTTTATTTTTCCCTTGAGGGAACTCCATGTGTGGAGTGGTTCATGTAAAACAGTAGGTCTAGACTTACACATAGATAACTACAGTAACAGAGGACAGGGCAGGAATTCAACATCATAAACAGCCATGTATGGTTAAATAAAGGTTTAAAAGGTAAATAAATACAATGTAATCCATGAGGGTGGTTTGTCTGGTCTGGTCTGGTCTGGACTTTACCCACGTACCCCACCAGGATGTGTGTGCGTGTGTGTGTGTCGTTTGTACTTACCCACATACCCCGCCAGGCTCTCCTTCCTCTCGTCCCGTGGGTCTTGGAAGTCTGCGTTTAGGGGAACCATGGTACCCTGGTCTGTGTGCATCACCACTGTCCCGTTCCACTCATACGCCCCAACTGCACCCAGCATTACACCCTCCTATGAATTAATTAATTAATTGTATTTAACAAATGTAAAATACATTTGCCTCAGCCAGTACAACAATATGTACCGTATCTGTCCTTTCCATAATCCTGTTTTTCGAAACCTACAGACCTGTGACTGACATCATTTTGTATTAAGGACTATAATAAAATGTATTTATAAAATCCTTTTTACATCAGCAGATGTCACAAAGAGCTTATAGAGAAACCCTGCCTAAAACCCCAAACAGCAAGCAATGCATATGTAGAAAGCACGGTGGCTAGGAAAAACTCCCTAAAAGGCAGGAACCTAGGAAGAAACCTAGAGGGGAACCAGGCTCTTAGGTGTGGGCCAGTCCTCTTCTGGCTGTGCCGGGTGGGAGATTATAAAAGTACATGGCCATTAAGGTCAGATCGTTCTTCAAGATGTTAAAAACGTTCACTGATAACCAGCAGGGTCAAATATAATCACAGTGGTTGTAGAGGGTGCAACCAGGTCAGCACCACAGGAGTAAATGTCAGTTGGCTTTTCATAGCCGAGCATTCAGAGGTCGAGACAGCAGGTTGGGTAGAAAGGGAGAAGAGGAGAGAGAGAGAGAGAGAGAGAGAGAGGAGAGATGAGATCTATCTGAGCGATAGAGAGAGAGTCATAGAGTCTTTCTTAGGTATCGCTATAGTATTAAGATCTAGCGCTAGTTCGGCTTTCTACTCGCTTTCTTCTCTCTCTTTCTCTCGCTCTATCTCTGCCTGTCTCTCTCTTTCTCCTCTTTCTCTCTTCTTTCTCTCTCTCTCTCTCTCTCTTGCTCTCTGCTCGTCTTCGCTCTCCTCTCTCCTCCGCTCCTCTCGCTCTCTCTCTCTCTCGCGCTCTCTCTCATCTCTAGTACTCGGCCCTTTTCGAAGCAGCCTTTTCTGTGGACCCAGCCACATTGTTTCCTGATAGAACAATGCACACATAAAAAATGATAGAGTCAGATGAGACAACAGCTCATAGAGACACTAGAAAGCTCATCTCTTGTCTTTGTAATGGCGTCTTCTGTGACAGCATGGGCAGTGACATTAAGGGCCTTCATCCAACTCTTTGAGACAGTTATGCTACAGCACAGGAAACAGGAAGAGACCCCCCAGGCAGTGGAAAAGTCTAATTTGAGTGAAGGCTAAACAGACCAGTGACCACAGTGAGAAAGACCACTGTCACAATGCACTGTGTCAAGTAGCCATTTCCCCCATAGAACATGAAGAAGAAGACCCTGTTTCATGACTACAGGAAGACAGGGCAGGGTCAAGTATTTCACAAGATGGATCTGTGTCGTTCCACGAAATAAGTGCCTTTTGCATCCATTTGTTTTAATACGGTGAAACTATTCATAAAAAAAAAGATACAGTGAACATCTAATAGTCAATTCATGTAGTAAAAGCAGGTGAGCAGGTTCAACTCTTTTTGGGAATGTTCTGGTGTTTTGCGGTGGAAAACTGAGTAGGTTGAACATAACATGTCAACCCTGTTGCCCATAGATAGGCTAGAAATGTTTTAACAATTATTTTTTGGGGGTGAAGCTTGCATTCAATTGCCACTCTCTGTTGCACAAAACAAACTTCCATTACCCCTGCCACAAGGGGATTTATGGCTGATATTAGAAGAAATTGTCAACCCTTTTACGGTCAACCTTGTTACTTTATTTGGCACTTAATATAGTCATTTTTTTTATTTAACCTTTTGAGATGGGAAAACATGTTTTTTATTAAGTTGAACATGTGCTCTTTATGACAGAATGTAAACATTTGGTGAAACCAAAAGTTTAGGAAGAACCCTTTTGAGTTCCATGTAGAACCCTTTCCACCAAAAAGGGTTCTCCTATGGGGACAACCAAATAACCCTTTTTTGTAAGAGTGTAGAGCATGTTTACTCCAACTCATCTACGGAGGGGCAATGCCTGATGAATGCACATAAGGTTTGGGAGAATACATTTATTTGTTTGTTCAAAGTGAACATCCTCTCACGGGAAAAGTCGTCTCTTCTTAGTTCTCCTCTCCCCCACAGCACAGTTCTCTCTGGGCTGAGAGAGGAGAGGAAAGAGAGGACAGAGGGTCCCTCTGTCTCCAGAACATTCGTTGGATCACGGTGAACCAGCACAGGGATAGTTCATCTTGATGAATGAAAGATCTCACTTGGCACACACCGGTTGAATCAACATTGTTTCCACCAGTGGCGACTGCCCTACCTGTTTTGAGCCCCACATTTTTAGCAAATAAATAAATAAATACATATTTGTTTGGTGGGGAGGGGGATTGCCTCTTTTGCATGTTATTTTGGCATTAATACGTGTCACATATCAGTTTGCAAACAATGTAAAAATATATATAATTCAGTTAATAAAGCCGCAGCTCCAAAATGCAGGTGTTTCAGCCTAGCTCAGTGCTTTCTGTGGTGGTGGGGCAAGCCATCAGAAAATAGGAGCATTGCGCCGTGATTGGCTCAGTGTTCTGTCACTCATGGGGACACTATGTCACCGCCAAGTCTAAGTCCTTAGTAAGGGTATACATCCAAAATGTAAGCCCTTTGGGTGCTGCCATAGAGTTACATTAGAAGTACCCTTCCAAGAAGGCTCAAGGTCATTGGCCACAGATAAAATGACGTCAAATCACGTTATATGTACAGTAGCTTTGATTGGACTGATCATGTCAACATCTTACTTTCAAATTATTAGCTCACAGTCATCATCATTAATCAAATCGACAATCTACTGGCAAATCCTTTTTAATCCTTGTCATATGAAGAGAAATAATGAAGAGAAATTATAGATCAAACTTATCGGTGCTCATTGGCCATTGGACATAAACATTAACCAACAAGTTGGAAATCGTAAATTCAACAATGAGTGGTTTGGAAGGAATCAGTGGCTAACTGCAAGCATTGCAAAGCAATCACTAGCCTGCTATTCAGTGGAGTGGCTGTGTGGCTTTTTTACGAGTTCCCACCATAAATCCAGAGAATGCCAGACTTTGATGAAAATTTGCCCACAAAGGACCGCTGTGCCACCTTCCTGTTTAAGTGAGCACAGCAAAACAAGGTGAGTCCAAAAATGTCTTGTATGCTGCTGCATAAATTATGTAATATGCAAGGGAGATATGTATACTGTAGCTAAGAAAGTAATACTAAGTGTATGTTGTGTAGTAAGCTGTTATAAGCCCATGTGCCTCACCCTAATAATTTGGTATTGTAAACACGGTATTGTAAACACATCGTTCATGGCCGGTGTGTGCTTGTTTGCAGACTTGTTTTTGTATAGCTTTGACAGTGCTACTGATAGTAGTGGTGGCGCTTGGCTTGCACGTGCAAATTCTATAATAAAATTGTGTTATTTGACGTGTCAAATTAAAAGCTTATTTAACGGGTCAAATAGTGTTATTTGACGTGTTTCTTTTTTGACACGTAAAGACCCAAACGGCGTTCAATGTGCCTCACCCTAATAATTTGGTATATTTTCACTTCTTAATTTCACCTAGTTCTAACTTGGTGGTACACATGTAGCCTATAACCTGTTTTAGAGAAATGTCATCATTGAATATTGTAAGAACTTTCATTGTCTGCTTATATGCCCCCTTTACTTATCCTACGGTTCTGCCTTGGTGTACAGGGAGAATACTGTAAGAATGGCCCATGTTCTGAATTCTGTCGCTGTACATTTCAAAAGTGCTGAACAAACAGTTATACTGACTTCGTCCGTCGCAGCTCGCTAATTAATATCTTATTCGAAATTAAGGATTGCCTCTTATCCGCTTGTCGTCCCCTTATGCCATAGTTTGTACATCTCAATTGTCAGTAGAAACCACATTTATTTAAGCAAGTCAGCCATATCAGCTATGTTTTTTTTAAAGGCAGTAAATGAGGCTGAATGAACTGTTTCGCTGCCAGACAACTCCGCTGAAAGCCAGGTGTAGCAGTGATAAGGTGTTGGGACAGCTGTATGTAGGCCCTAACAGTTTGTGGGCACCGTTTGTCACCGTTATAGTGAAATTAATGTATTTTGTGTTGTGTAGTGGCTTTGCTGGCATGGATCCCATATATTACTTTTTTGCCCCACCAAGATTTACATGCTAAAATCGCCACTGGTTTCCACGTCATTTCAATGAAATAGACGTTGAATTGACGTCTGTGCCCAGTGAATAACACAACACACACCGTCGTTCTGTACTGTATCTGACTTGGGCTGATAAGCGGGCAGTCAAAGATTCACAAGCGTGATATCCTATAAACCGATCCCCACGGTAATATGCTGCACCCTTTAGCCCAGTGGGCTAGGACAGTGGGAGTACACTATTAAAAGAGAGTATTTTGAAACATAAAACATTTGATAGATTTATGCAATTAGTTGCCTCCTGGTGTTGGAAAAGCCTAGCTGCATATTTTCAAACTGTTTCTTTTAACAGTGTAGGACAGTGGAAAGCAGGGGTAGAAGGAGTTAGTTAGTAGGAAAGGGGAAAGGAAAGCAGAGTTGTATTTATTTACGAAAACCATTTCCCGTTTTAGAACCGAATGGAAGCAAACAGAGCAAACAGTTAGGTCCCCTCATGTTTCGTTCGCTTCCATTTAAGAAATGTTTTGCAACAGAATCGGTGTAATGAATATGCCCCAGGAGTAGAACAAAACAACAGTATGTAATGTGGACTCACCTTAGAGGTGTGGGCACTGAAACCAGCCTGGGACATCTCCATCTCAAACGACGAGGTGTAGTTACCTGACGTTGCTGTGGAAAGGACATTCACATTGATCCGTTACTATACAATCACTCTCACTGATCCATTTTCATTGTAACTGTCTATGGACTGTTTTTAATGTCGTTATTGTTTTAATTGTATGACTCTGTGTGGCTTTTTGGATGATAACTCACTTCCCCTTGGGGATTAATATCAAATCTCTGTTTATTTCACTATGTACAGTGTCTTGCAAAAGTATTCATCCCCCATGGCGTTTGTCCTATTTTGTTGCATTGCAACCTGTAATTTAAATTGATTTTTATTTGGATTTCATGTAATGGACATACACAAAATAGTCCAAATGGGTGAAGTAAAATGTAAAAAATATTGTGTTTCAAAAAATTAGAGAAAAAGAAATAACGGAAAAGTGGTGCGTGCATATGTATTCACCCCCTTTGCTCTGAAGCCCCTAAATAAGATCTGGTGCAACCAATTACCTTCAGAAGTCACATAATTAATTAAATAAAGTCCACCTGTGTGCAATCTAAGTGTACACATGATCTGTCACATGATCTCAGTATATATACACCTGTTCTGAAAGGCCCCAGAGTCTGCAACACTACTAAGCAAGGGGCACCACCAAGCAAGCGGCACCATGAATACCAAGGAGCTCTCCAAACAGGTCAGGGACAAAGTTGTGTAGAAGTACAGATCAGGGTTGGGTTATAAAAAAAATATCAGAAACTTTGAACATCCCACGGAGCACCATTAAATCCATTATAAAAAAATTGAAAGAATATGGCACCAAAACAAACCTGCCAAGAGAGGGCCGCCCACCAAAACTCACGGACCAGGCAAGGAGGGCATTAATCAGAGAGGCAACAAAGAGACCAACGATAACCCTGAAGGAGCTGCAAAGCTCCACAGCGCAGATTGGAGTATCTGTCCATAGGACCACTTTAAGCCGTACACTCCACAGAGCTGAGCTTTACGGAAGAGTGGACAGAAAAAAAGGCATTGCTTAAAGAAAAAAAGAAGCAAACACGTTTGGTGTTCACCAAAAGGCATGTGGGAGACTCCCCAAACATACGGAAGAAGGTACTCTGGTCAGATGAGACTTAAATTGAGTTTTTTGGCCATCAAGGATAACACTATGTCTGGCGCAAACCCAACACCTCTCATCACCGCGAAAACACCATCCCCACAGTGAAGCATGGTGGTGGCAGCATCATGCTGTGGGGATGTTTTTCATCGGCAGGGACTGGGAAACTGGTCAGAATTGAAAGAATTATGGATGGCGCTAAATACAGGGAAATTCTTGAGGGAAACCTGTTTCAGTCTTCCAGAGATTTGAGACTGGGACGGAGGTTCACCTTCCAGCAGGACAATGACCCTAAGCATACTGCTAAAGCAACACTCAAGTGGTTTAAGGGGAAACATTTAAATGTCTTGGAATGGCCTAGTCAAAGCCCAGACCTCAATCCAATTGAGAATCTGTGGTATGACTGTACACCAGCGGAATCCATCCAACTTGAAGGAGCTGGAGCAGTTTTGCCTTGAAGAATGGGCAAAAATCCCAGTGGCTAGATGTGCCAAGCTTATAGAGACATACCCCAAGAGCATCTTCAAAGTGGTAGGCATGTTGTGTAAATCAAATGATACAACCCCCCCCCCCCTCAATTTTAATTCCAGGTTGTAAGGCAACAAAATAGGAAAAATGCCAAGGGGGGTGAATACTTTCGCAAGCCACTGTAGAGAAGAACTCTTGCACAGTTCTGGAGAATAAGCGCACTTGCCATTGTTATCACTGAGTTCAAAGCAGCACAAAGCATGTCATGATTTATATAGAAGAAACTAGCTCAGCCTACCCTCCAAGGCAAAGATTCTGCTTCCCAGAGCATCTACGATGGTAAGCAAGGCAAACTCATCGGACACATTGAAGAAGTGATCTCCCACAGGATCGCTGGAAATGTTCTTGATCTCCTCAATGAACTTTTAACCTCATTGATGCTTCTGTTGTTCCTGTTGTAATCACCAAGAACCTGAAGAAAAAAATAATTGTATTTTTTATTTTATTTATTCAACTAACCGTTATATATACAGGTAAGTCAATTAAGAACAGATTCATATTCGCAATGACGATATCAAGTCTGAAAAACAGTCCTCTATATTACAGAATGTGGTCCGTGTAGGAAACAGTAACTGAACCCATAATCCTTGGCCTGCCTGGGCTGGAAGATTCCCAGTTGGAGGATTCCCTTACTGCTTATTATCTCCTGATTCATAGAAGCCTCCAACCAGGATTTCTGGAAAACCTGGGAATTTTTGGAAAGGTCCCGGGGTTTTGCAACACTCATCCTTCTTGCACCAAGCTCCAAGCTACCAAACCATTTAAACTAGGTGATATATGGTGTGTTTATTTGAGGTCTGTTAGGGATGTGACTGTGATCTTGTCCTGACTGAAAGGTATGTTACAGCTTTTACTGTGGTGAGGGTATTGAGGTATTAATAATGAGGTATTATGGTTTTGATGGCCTTATACTCACAGCAATACCGAACCTCTCAATGTCGTCTTTCTCGCATTCTGCAGTGACAGTTTTGAGGTTGTGAGAGTCATGTGACTCTCCATCCGTCACGATTATCATGACCTTCTTGACCCCCGGCCGCGCCCCTCGCTCCACAGTGAAGGCCTCTTTCCTGAGGGGTCAACAGGGTTGATTAGAGGTCAAGGTCAAAGCTCATGGCATAGGTAGTGACATCACTGTGATCATGAGATGTGAAAATAGCATTATACATCAGATCTAGTACAATGAAGGCAAGAGTGTGTTTCAGTGTTCAAGCCATAAATTCTAAGCATAAGAGAGAGACGCTTTGGGAATTCATCATTCATGTTCACTCACTTCACACACTGTACAAGAAATAGACATACTTAACTGAGTGGAACACTAAATTCAACTGAACTCAATTCAATTAAGTAAAATGTTTGTAAACTGAGCATGACCAGACTCTTGTACTGCACCTTGCCGTGTCGATACCCAGGAAGGTCATGGTCCTGACACCCTGTTGCTGCTTAAGATTCATCACTTTGTCCAGGAGGGATGTAGTGTTACTAAACTGGCTGAGGTTCACATTGTGAATGACTTGCTCTCCATATGACACAATGCCCACCTGGAACAAAAAGACTGGATTCAGACAGACACTCACTCAAACACACAAATTCACCCTCATCTCACTCACTCTCTTCCCTTTAACCTCCTTCACCCTCATCTCACTCTCTGCCCTTCTCTCCAGTTCCCTCTTCTATAACTGTGTCCCTTCCTGTGGCACACTCCAATAGACTGAGACAGTCTGGTAAGGAAGGATATGTGGTTTGTTCTGGTGATTCTAATGTGATGTCATTCTCTTTATATAGCACACAGGATACTTATCCGGCTCTGGAATATGTGATCTATAAAGGGAGAACTTTGTAGGACAATATTTTCCAGTGCAGCACAGAGGGAAACTGTAATTTCACCATTAAGCTAAACCACTGTGAAGCAGCTCCTCTCCAGGGGCAGGGGTATTCTAAAAAGGACTCTCCATCCATATAATGCCCTTGGACTTTAAACTAATAACAGTATAAGCGATGATTTAACAGTGGTTGTGAGACTCGTGACTGTAATGAAGATTAGCATAATATGCATGCAACTCAAAGGCAAGACAATGACATATTATTATTATTATTATTATTATTATTATTATTATTATTATATGGTCCCTTCTATCTCTCCCTTCTATCCCTCCCTTATATCCCTCCCTTCTACCCCTCTCTCAGTCATGGCCCAGAGTTGATACTGTGTCCTTAAAGTTTTTTTGGGTGAAAATAGAAAGAAGAAATCACCTGGGACAGTTTAGGTCCAATTTCGATATTCTTCAGAAACTTAACCAGGAACTCAATGATGCTGTTCCATGGCCATATACTATTGGAGCCGTCAAGCACCATGACAATGTCAAGCTCTTTGGCACACTCTGGAATACAAGAGGGATTCAAATAACGTGGCTGTTATGATCTGTGTAACAGAACCAATATATCACATATTACATGCAATGTAGAAGTTAGTTGGAAAACATTAGACGTGTTTTGTACATCAATGTTTAAACTATTAAAGCCACAGTTGCCAACAGTTTTTATACAATAAATGCATTAAACAGTTGGTTTGTGCAGTGGAGAGAGATGAAGAGAGTGAGAACACTACAATACAGAGAAGCTCTCCCATCTACAGTAGTCCCTCTTTAGTCTTGTAAAAAGGCCTTGTTCCAATATCCACACTACCATAGTATACTACTTAGAATACTACTTAGAATGAAGCAATGGACATGCATTCTATTGGACATGCATTCTAAGTGGTATGCCAGTACGGATATTGAAACACAGCTACAGACTAAACAATAATCTGCTTAGAATGCATGTCCATTACAATGTCTGTGAGTGAGACTACACAGTGGTGGAAAGCTGTATCTCATCTATACTGTGACTTAATAGTCTACACCGGGGTTCCCCAACTGGCGACCTGCGGGTGATTTTATTTGGCCCCCCAAGTTTTCTGAGCAAAATGTTTATTTTTTTATTGTTGGACATAAAAGACCGTAAAATCACCAGCAAATCAGCTCCAAGTGATTTTAATTCTGGAAATCTGTTCCAAAGTATTCCCACGCATAATAGAGCGATATACTGTATGTGATCGTATACAAGGTTAGCAATTATTACGTTTTAGTCAAGTATTATCTGGTTTGGGCTTCTTGCTGTCAATTTGCAGAGTTCAGACAGCGATGACAAGTCTCTCTAAAATCTGTCCTAACTTGGGCATGCATGGCAGCAGGAGACTGGAGAGTAGTTTACACTAAGTGGAATGCTCTTATGTACACAAGTGATATTTCTCTCTGGCCACGTGGCTCTAGGGATTGGTTGGTTAGGGTGTGAAGAGCGGAATGGGTTGGGGGGGGGTCTGTCTGTGTGAGGGGTGGGATGTAAAAGGAACACCAGGGTGAGGGATCATGCAGCTCTGGTCTGACTGTAGTTCTCGGTGTGTGTGTGTGTTTTGTTGTTGTCCTGTACCTTGCACGGCCGGGGCGATGGAGTTGAGTACCTGGAAGGTTGAGCTGACGTTGGTACAGACCCCAGAGATGTACGTCTGCTGACCACACATGTAGCCATACTGGGGACCACAAGCCTGGATGAAAAGAGTACACACGTGTCACGGCGGGATCTGAAGTAGGGTCAGCCACGGGAAAAACCAAAGCCTTAACTGTTAGCCCAATAGGACATTCCCTCTTGTGTAGAGGGTGAAACCTTTTGAAGTTGCAGGCAGGATTACAGCGCTACCTCATCATGAGACCATGAACGCTACACACACATGCACACAGGGTTAAGGTCTTTAATTTGGACTCGAAGTAACTGACTCTCTGAAGTACAGGATCTGATAGGCTAAGACTCTCTATTCAACAGTCCATATATGAGCAGTGAGGTACAGTGAAGAGGCAGAGGGGAAGTTCTGGTCAGATCCGGGCTTTGTAATTTATATCTTATGTCATCATTATAAATACTCGGACCCATTCTTATAGACAGAGAGCGAGAGAGAGAGAGAGAGCGATAGAGAGACTGTAATGGAGAGAGCGTGTGAGTGCGTCACAGGAGGTTGGTGGCACCTTAATTGGGGAGGACGGGCTTGTGGTAATGGCTGGAGTGGAATAAGTGGAATGGCGTCAAATACATCAAACACATGGGTTCCATGGTGATGCCATTCCATTCACTCCTTTCCAGCCATCATTATGAGCCGTCCTCCCCTCAGCAGCTTCCACTGGCGTGCGTGTGTGTGATATATATGTTAGCTCTACATATAGTAACAACCGTACAGTCCAGGGCTGACATCTACATTCCCACATGGCCTCTTACCAGAAAGCCTCCTTGAGGGTTGGTAACCAACGTTGTTCCCATGGTCATGTTTTCCTTGACTTCGTGTAAGTTAGGAATTGTTGTGTTTTCTGGGAAAATATGGAATATATAAAGTCAGTGAAAGAGTCCTTGAAAAGAAAGAACAGCTGGTCAAATTCCTCTATCCATTTTCCCATAGGCAGAAAGACAGACCACCCTTCCAGAACCTTTGAACCCTCCGGACCTCGCTTTTGACGATGTGCACTATTGACATGTAGTTATTTATAGGATAGTTTTCTACCTCAGATAATGATGGATAGGCTATGGGCTATTTCTACAGTCTTTACTGATAAAAGACTACATGTACCTTTTGTTTTCCAGCATAAATACCGTAGCGTAGTTAGCGGTGTGTGCTGAATTGGTCCTGTGTAAGAGCATGGCTTTAGCTACACCAGGGTTGTGGGTTCAATTCTGGCTGGGGTCACAAATACTAAAATGTATGTAAATACACTGTTGTAACTTGTAAGTCTCTTTGGATAAAAGTGTCTGCTAAATGGCATTCTATGTATAATTAAATGTGCTCTCTGTCTAGAAGCATTTTTCAAAGACGTCTTATGAGTAATCATAATATAATAATAATATGCCATTTAGCAGACGCTTTTATCCAAAGCGACTTACAGTCATGCGTGCATACATTTTTGTGTATGGGTGGTCCTGGGGATCGAACCCACTACGCTGGCGTTACAAGCGCCGTGCTCTACCAGCTGAGCTACAGAGGACCACTCTCTAATCATGTAGGCTACTCTGATAAAGTACTCTCTGTACTCATAATTCACGTCACGTCTAGTGACTGCAGAACAACACATGGCCCTGTCAAGCTCTAGGATAGTACAGTAATTGTCATGCTCACACTGTATATGACCAGATTGTATGGTGGACAAATATTCTTATAATTTTACCAGAGAACATTAAAATATATACTGTATAATAAATACATAAACAGATATAAAACATCAAAATACTTTACAAAACAACAGATAATGTCAGCAAAATGTGTTACAAAATTATAATATATCCCCCAAAATGAATTGATTTAGTTCCACTAAATTGATTTAGTAATCCTAACTAATCTCAACCCTGCCTTTGTGAAGTGGGTCAGTATCAGGGTTGGGGTCAATTCCATTTCAATTCAGTCAATTCAGTTTACTTCCTTCATTGACTTTATTGAAATGGAATTGAACCCAATCCTGTTCAGTATTGAGTCAGCGTCATCAGAAGCCCAGAGGCATGGTGCATGAAGCGCATGCAGCAGAGGAGTCATGTTGGTTATCTAGTTAGCATGATATAATTATGAGTGAATGAGATGAGACATTAAAATCCTGTTTATGTAGTGTCTTCCTGTGCTGCTGTGGTGCTGCTTTGGCTCACGTCCTGTCCAGCACACTCCCCAGGGAGGGAGGCAGGGAGTCCCAGACCAGCACACCGGACAATATGAGGGGCTAAGCCTCAACTCAGACACAGCTAATAGAGGGAGTTTCAATAACATACACATGCACCTACACATGCAAACACACACTATAAACTAGTGCTCACCAGGCAGCTCCAGTTTGATACATTTAGGGTTTGGTCCTCGACCCACAGGGCATTTGTAGACATCTCCAGTCCGTTTGGCTGGCTGGCCGGCCAGGGGAGAACCAATAAGTACCCTTTAAAGACAGAAACAGGGGAAGAGGTTTGTAGGCTATTCCATACCCACCCACCATAATGTTTCACTTTAGATTGACCAAATTTGTGTCCACTGTAAACAAAGAAGCAACAACTAGAGTTCCCCTCAATGACCTGGCGTTGGGTTTTTGTTTTCCCACAAAAAAGGCAATTTAATTTGATAACAAAAAGTATTTAAAATGCTTGTTGTGCAGTGGAAAGTACACCATTTAGCACTTACGCCTACTATGTTTACTCGTCATTACATTGTTTATGTATTTCTGAGTGAGTAACCCATGCTTTACATCAGAATACAGCTTGTTAGCTGGGCTCTCTTGTTGTGAGTGTAACCTGTATGGTCCAGTGCTGGTTCTCTCTCAGCAGAAATCTTGTGGGTACGATAAGATGATAAACTGAGCTAGTTAACTGCTAGCATGTAAACAGTTCATCTAATTAACATTCCACTCTCCTAATGACCGCTGATCAACTAAAGAGGGAGAAACCAGTGGGAACACACTCAGCTCTCTGGAATCACAGCCATCTGAGAGAGAGAACGCCGTCATCATCTCAAATCTCACAGCTAAGTTACACACTGCATAGAGAACAGACATCTGGCCTAGCTCACTTTCACTTTCAGCAACACCACTCACTCTAAATGAGAGCCTTCTAAGGGAGCCATGCCATCTGTGAATGATCACTCACCTCACATCTACAGTAACCCAGGTTAAGTAACATAGGCATCTAGGCACAACCTCTCTCTCCTTTTGTCTTCAATGGAGGTTTCTGTGAATTACCAACCCAAATAAGGCTCTGTTCCAATATCCACACATACATACGACTAGCATACCTGAATGAAGCTATGATATGGCCATGCATTCTAAGGTATGGTATGCTAGGATGGATAATGGAAGGATCATATCTTCATCAATCTTATACATAGGTATCTGTTTAATAGAAAGTAACTGGAACTATCAGGTCTATCTTTACATGATCTCTATGTGAAATTGACAGTGTGGTATGCAAGTATGGATATAGGAACATATAGGCCTCGTCACTCTCATACAATGGTATCTGTGTAGAAGTGAGAGTAACTGGACCTATCGGAGCATTCTCTACATGAGAAAGCTGTGGGATAGTTCATCATTCCTCATCACAGTTGCTCCTGCTGATTGAGAAGGACTGAGTTACCGTAACTGATCCCATATGAGCTTAATAAGCCCATTCCAGCTGAATGTATGGGGATAGTGAGCTAGTTAGTTAGGGGCCGGGATCACACTGTATGAGCCTCTAGTGGCGTAGTATAGGGACCGGCTGTCTCGCTGTCTGAGGGGGACTCTACCTTTCTCTAAAGGGAGGCAGACTGAGTTTACTAGCGTGTAAAAATGTGCTCCTTGACCAATTAAGAGAGGGGCCACGGACGCTTGGTTTCACAGTGCCTTTACTGGCAGACTGGGTGGATACTCTGGTGGGTTGATTTCACTTAACAGGCGGAGGGAGGGCTGTAGGGAGGGAGGGGGGACTCTTTATATGAGACAGACGGTGTTAAGCTGCAGGCCTAACTGATACAGGTGGACTCTTTATTTGAGCCAGTGTCTTGACCACAGGCCTACACTCATAAAAGGTGCTAAGTAGAACCATACAGGGTTCTTCAGTTTGTCACCATAGGGTAACCCTTATTGGTGCTGGGTAGAACCCTTTGCAGAGGGTTCTATATAGAACCCTCTATGTAGGGTTCTTCAAAGAACTGCCTGTATATGTTTCTTCCTAGAACCGTCTATGAAGGGTTCTACCGAGAACCCTTTTATCTTTGGAGAGTTCTTCATAGAACCCTCCAAGAACGGTTCCACCAGCCTTATTAGACTCTAAAATCTAATTATTTATGACAATACATTACATCATAAGGCCTTTCTTTGAGGGCCTATTTATACACTAACACAGTGGTGTTAGGAATCTCCTGGTTTACAGGCCACATCAGGCCTGCAAGTCACATTATGCTGGCTTGCAAAGTGATGTGTAATCCCTATTGGAATCCAGCCAGAGTTAAGATATCCAACAAGTGGAATTGTTAATCACCTGCAACCTGGATTCAGAATGACTACCAGGGTAGGGAAGATTGAATACTGAGACTACCTCAATCATCTAAACTGGAACAACCATCTCAGTAACGGGTGCAATAAAGTCAATTACTAACAGATTGGATTAGGTTAGAAAACGTTATGGTATTTATCTTTGTGTAGCATAACATTTATTAACCAAGCAATGTACATGCAAAAATAGAGATATTATAGTAAAACAAACAATTCTGAAAATCTCTCTGGCAGTGTTTTGTTCGAGATCATCTAAAGCGAGACCAAGTCAAGACCAAGACCGGAGCGAATCGAGTCCGAGTCAAGACCAAGACCGGAGAGGGGGGGGCGGAGTCAAGACTGAGAGAGGGACGAGGGGTGTGAGACCGCGTCAAAACCGAAACCAGAAAATGCGAGTCCAATTCAAGACCATGATTGTAATTTTGTCAAATCGCCACCATAGTAAGAGTTCAAATGTCCAGTAGTTCTGTGTTCATATTTCAGAAGAACATATAGGTTCTTTAGACATTCAGAATGGTGAATAAAATGCATGCTGAGGACAAATAGAGCCCCTCTACAAGTTGTTACTAACCCAAACACAGTGGGGAACAATGAGGGCCTTCTACACCTACAGAGAAGGGCTAAGGATTTATAAAATAATAATAATCATTATTATTATTCTTCAGTTTTTGTTGGAAAGGAAAATACTGAACAAAAATATAAACGCAACATGCAACAATTTCAACGATTTTACAGAGTTACAGTTCATATAAGGTAATCAGTCAATTGAAATAAATTAATTAGGCCCTAATCTATGGATTTCACATGACTGGGCAGGGGTGGGCCTGGGAGGGCATAGGACCACCCACTTGGGAGACTGGCTACCCACTGGGGAGCAAGGCCCAGCCAATCAGAATGAGGTTTTCCCCACAAAATTGTTTTTATTACAGACAGAAATACTGCTCAGTTTAATCAGCTGTCCGGATGGCTGGTCTCAGGTGAAGAAGTCGGATGTGGTCCTGAGCTGGCATGGTTACACGTGGTCTGTGGTTGTGAGGCCGGTTGGACGCACTGCCAAATTTTCTAAAATGACGTTGGAGGTGGCTTATGGTAGAGAAATGAACAAACAATTCTCTAGCAGCAGCTCTGGTGGACATCCCTGCAGCCAGCATGCCAATTGCACACTCCCTCAAAACTTGAGACATCTGTGGCATTGTGTTGTGTGACAAAACTGCACATTTTAGTGTGGCCTTTTATTGTCCACAGCACAAGGTGCACCTGTGTAATGATCATGCTGTTTAATCAGCTTCTTGATATGCCACACCTGTCTGGTGAATGGATTATCTTGGCAAAGGAGAAATGCTCACTAAGAGATGTAAACACATTTGTACACAACATTTGAGAGAAATAAGTGTTTTGTGAGTATGGAACATTTCTGGGATCTTTTATTTCAGCTCATGAAATCATGGGACCAACACTTTACATGTTGCGTTTATATTTTTGTTCAGTATAGCTAGCTAAATCAGCTATTGGCTACACCATCAGAAGTTTGATAGAAGGTATCTGCCATTCAACTGTATTAGGGCAGCATTTTGGAGTGACAGTGGAATCAACCAATCACTTTTTGTATTTTAATGGGTGGGACCGTTTTTACAAAAACTTCAAGTATGGGTAGCTGCAGCCCAATATGGCGACTGGAGTATGAGCTGGTGTGTCAGAAGTAGTGTGTGTTTGGAAAGCGAATCTACTAATTGGGCAGATTTGTTGCCGTTCAATAACGTTTTGTGTGGCTGATTGGGCTGCAAGACGAGTCGATAAGTGAGTGGAACTGTATTTTGGCATTGCAGCTTGCTTACTGTTGTTAGCTATCTCTTGGAAAATAACTTATGTATGTGAAACGTTGTTTCATTTAAACTTTAGATCACCTGTTACTTTGTGTGCTGAATGCAATGGGAAGTAATAGTTGTACATTTCGACTGGGAAATGCTTAGCCTAATGGTTGTATTCTTATGATAGGGACATACTGGCCTTTTATGTCCGAGTGAATGGGCTGCTTATCCTTTAACATTATGCTGTGTGACTGCTGTCTTTCTATCAGCCTATGTGTTTTACAAAAAGTACACTCTCCTACATGGAGGGCGCTGGTATTACGGTCGCTGTCCTTTCGGCATCAAGAACCTGTCACACATCCTTTGACGTATCACTGTTGTAGCTTTTGATGATAGTGTGATAGTGATGATGTTAGGCTACCATAGGTTGTGTAAGCAGTGTGGTTATGGTTGTTGTTGTTGGTAGCACTATCCGTGTAGGTGCCATCTCTGTAAGTGGCAGCCCGAAGCTCAGCTCAGTCATGTTTGATTCAGTTTGGCACATTAAGTGATGCTATGTTTCTGTTCTTTTTCTTGATTTTGGAGTTTGGTACAACGTGTTAGAAGATTTTTTTCCCCTCCACTGAAGGCCTAGGTCCAATAGCCACGGTTCGCAACTGCGCAAACATGTCTATAATAGATATAAAGACTGTTACAATTCCCTCCGGTAACCCCTTACTAATAGTGAGCGTGCAACTTTCAAACAATTCCCCCCCGCTCTTCCCTACTAGCGAATCAAAGAAAGTAAAGAACAGTAATGTTACAAGTAAAGTAGGAGGCCCAGGTTTCAATAGGCAATAAGATATTCATGTTTCATGAAATGAATGTACATACAGTATTTAGCCTGGCGAAGTGGTTTTATGCACTGACTGAATGGAAGCTGTATGAGTGTTTTACTCTGCTGGTCTCGGGAAGAAATGACGAGTCCTCACTGTCCGAGACCGAGTCAATTCCGAATAAAAATGTATCAGACACCGAGACAAGACTGACACACTCAATATGTGGTCTCGAGACTGGACTCGTGTACTACAACACTGCTCCCTAGAATAGAGCATGCTGGGAAATAT